TGTAGTTTGTGGGAGAGACAATTCTGGCTCTAGTTCACTGTTTCCTAGTTTAATCAATAGTAATGATACATGTCTTGTAGTGTAGCTAAATAGACCCAAACGCAGGACATTGACACAATGGTAAGTAAAGGATTATTGCGGCCAACAGGGAATGGAATTGGATTGGAGAGCAGACCGGACTGAACAGGTGGACAAGGCTGAGAGGTTTGGAAAGGCTGAGATTGCCTGAGGGTAAACAGAGAGGCGGCTGATCTTAGGGCGCAAAAGGAAAAGCCTCTAGCACGAAATTCAAATAAGTTCAAATAAGCTGGCACAGTGTGGAAGAAGAGCCTGGGTTATAATAAGACGATAAATTGATGCATTAAGAGCAGGCAGCTGTGCAGGTTAACCAGGGACACAGTGGAAAATTGGGGACATGAAGAGTGGGGAACAACAGGGAAAACAAGGGAGAGACAGGAAATGATGGCATCATAAAATGATCAAACATTAAAATGTAAATCTTAAAGCTCATGCAAAAACAAGTGTCCACCCACAGGTGTTTTCACTTAAGTTGCCTCATAGTTCTCTTCTCAATAGTGTGTGGGCAAGCATGAACCAAAGCTTTGTTGACTTTTCCCCTCAAACGTATGTTGTTTTTGTTGTATTGTGTAAAACTCAGCATAGCTCCAACCCAACGCACACCTGATTAGAGGTCTATTCAGCCAGAGTGATTGGAAACACCTGTGTGGGTGAGTCCTAGAAGTACCAACGACTGTCAAAAAATAGCAAACATTGAGTACAAAACTGTCCTTTTGAAATGTAGTGAGGATAAAATGACAAGTTCTTCTACAGTATTTGAGTAGGCTACATCTACTTTGTACATTCTGCCACTTGTTGATATAAATGTATATCGTTTTATTATGTATTTTTTCCAAACAATATTACCTGTTACTTAACATAAGAAAGCTTTAGGACAAAAAACATTTATTGGCTGTCCAGATTTTCATGTTTTCAATAGCATCCAGGGAAAACCTTGTTTCCAAGTTTACATATTCAATTTTTTCAGAACATATTCTGTGAGATAAGAAATGTATTCGAACTTTAATGCTCACTCTCCTTTGAAAGCCCCATTGAATATGTTCTTGGTGATACACGGATTTCACCTGATAACAGCAGCTTGTGATTTATAGCAGTATTATTCATGACTGAATGTTTTGTGGTCTATAAGTGTGTGGGTTTCCTCTTTCGAATCCACAAAGAGTTAGCTACGCCACAGTTGTTTGGACTCTCTCCCTGATGAAGAACTTGTGATGAACTTGTGGACATTTCTCACTGCCGCACCCTGGCAACACAGCAACACACAGAAAGCGGCACACAAACACACACACACACGTCTCATCCAGATGAAGCTGAAACGTACGCTTGCTCCAATCATTTAGTTCAGCTAAAACATGTGTTTCCCCTTTGCACCCTCAGGATGATGTCACATCAACAGTGACATGGCCTCCCCAAGTGCATGCTAATTTAAAACATCCGCATTTCCTGACTCAAGTCAGTGTGATTGGAATTTAGTCTTAAAAGAGTTTGTCCTACATCATGAAAGACAACAGAGGCACAAAGTGAGAAGCTCCCTGCGGATAATGGGTAAGTGAAACATTGTAATCTTGGGTGAATGAACCCTTTTTTTCAGGAGAGGTAATAGCACAGATACTGGGCTAGGGTGAGTTTGATTTGTGTTGTGGCAAGAAATTGCAAAATCTCTGTCATTACTGAGTCTCTGTCCTATCATCACACTGCTTTCACGCAGACATGTGCACAGAACCTCAGCCCACACACATACTCCCTAAATTAAAGCCCAAAATAAATGTCTGAGAAGTCTTAAACTATCATCCCTGGGATGAAAAAACCTGTGTTCTAGACATAGCAGTAGATAACAATTGTTTGAATTATCTGCATTAGTTTGACTGCCAGATTTTTGCAGTTAAATCCCTCAGCAAGTGCAACATTTCATCAATCATACTGGTCTATTTATAATTTGATATAAGTAGATCAGGGATCATCAAGCCTCAAACATTGATTGAGGCTGAGGCTCAGTGGAGTAGTGCGCTGGTCTTCGGATCAGGGGAGAGCAAATTCAAGTCCCAGTCAGCATGTCGTTGTGTCCCTAGGCATGTAGTGTAACACCAAATAATTTACAGTAAATGTACTGCTGTATTGCTACCCTTCAGCTCATACTGTATATGCTTTAAGCTGATCTGTTAGGTGATAGAAAGGATGATCTTTTCAACTTAATTATCGCTGTAAGGTTTCATAACTACACGTCTTGGTGAAAGCAGTTATATCAGCAGAAGCATAGTGTCGCTTAATTAAGTATATTTAAAAAAATGGAGCAGCATATTGAGTTCATGACTCACCAATGACACTGAGAAATATACTAAATATAGAAGTAGACTGCATTATCTCAGCTTGGGCAGTTGGCAATTTTGTATAAATCAAAATCGTCAATCATTGTTCATTTTTATTATGGATTTTAAATGTTTTCTCAAACTTTTAATGGCAAACAAGCATCGCCAAGACGTTCCAACAGTCTCAGGTTCACTGAATGTCAGGTGGTTTTGGTCATTTCATTAAAGGGGTGCTCCACTGATTTAATAGCCTACTACTACTTGTACTTTCATGAAGTTGGAACTAACAAGAGTCTTACTGAGAAATAAGGATGAATCAAACTCCAGCCCTCAGTTTACAACACAGGCTTTTTGTTAAGACTGTGTTGTCCCAAGGCCAAGCCAAGATAAAAAATAATACAATCTCTCAGACATTACAAAGCCCCTTCAGAGCACCTGAGTAGCACCCACCATGGGAAACAAACCAATATCAGTATGTAGAGTTTGTGGAGCGCTCATTTAATTGCAAAATGTATACATTTGCACCAAAGCATCAACTAAGGAGGGTCCCGTGTTATTAACTATAGTGTTGTGAAAGTATGTCAAGGCCAAAATGTAGGAGTTTTTTCATTATTGCACCAGATTTAGAGGCTACTTGGAGGCTACTCTTTGAACACATGGAGGACAGTAGATGGGAAGTCAACTTAATCTGGCCATGAGTGCAAGATAAATTAACACACAGTGAAAGAATGCCACGATGGAAACATTGACAGTCCTCCATTACTTTATATTGGCTCCAGTACTGACTGCTCGCAGTAACCCTGTATTTAACAGATTAATACAAAAGATAAAGCAGCGTATTATATAGGCTTCAATAACACCACATTTCTAATGCTTTCTTTCAACACCAGACTTAAAAATCTCAGTTCAATTAATGAATGGGGGTGACTCACATTTGGCAAAATAAACAATTTTTTATTCTCACTTTGCACAGCGGATGTAAATATTGACCCAAACGTCATGGATAATAAGGTCGGCGGTCTGCTAATGATTTATATGAGCTGTGGCGTTTCCACCATTTGTCTTTTTACAAACTTTACCATTCTAGCTAAAGATTTGGACATGGATATGGAATCGGTCAAGCAGGGCTGGGTTTCCAGTGGTAACATTCGTGGGAGAACAGGACGGCCTTTGTTAAAAAGCTTTAGTATCACAGAGGAGAGAGAAGTCATTGTGCTTTAGAAAAGCCTCCTTATGGTTCATGTCCTCAGAATGTAATGGATCCTCAGCCCCATTTTAAAAAATGCAACTCACTCCAGCAGACAGTGGCCGTTTCTCAATCTCGAGGATGCTGGCTTGGTAGTTGCCTACTTCCAAGTCACTTCACGGCTTCGGAAAACGAAGAAGAATGGAACAGGCTAAAAAGTGTGCCACTCTCTCTAACGGTTTCAACATAAACTGTACCGAAAATAAATACCTCACGATGTCTAATTATGAACTTGCTTTACTTTCACGGAACACATTTTTGGTGATAGTAAATGTAACGAAGTAACATATTTACCAACACATGTTCTACGCCACTATACTTACATTTAAATGTGTGCTGCGTCGGTTCAGCAATTCTCAGCAAGGGTTTTTGAAATTAGTCTGTGCGCAAAGCATTGTGGGGATTTTAAGGACGCAAAGTCTACCCATGTGCAGCCTCGAAATTTCCTCCAAACCAAGGACGCGGCCTCGGTGGAATTCCAAGTATGCTGGAGATTGGAATAGTCCTTCGGCGGCCCTCGATGATGGTACTTCGGCGGCTCTCGATTAGGTAGTATCCTTGAAATATTGGCTTGGAAGCCAGTATCATCGAGATTGAGAAACTGCCCGAATATGCATTTCAATGGGCCTGCTTACTGGAAATGAGCGCCTTGTTGTCATCAGTTTATCAGGATATCCATCCAGACCAAGATCAACAAAAGTGTGAGTCAAAGTTACTCCCAATTTCAATGAAAATGTGTTGTGTCATTGTGAGGTAAGAAGTAAAATATGTTTAATGTGTTAATGGTAAAGCAGTTCAGATTATGACCAGTCTGATTTAAATGTATCGCTGACGACCACAGATTAACATGTCTAAACTTTAAAGGTTAAAATAATCACGATACCAAAAACTGTAGTTTTTCCTTTTTTATTTCACAAAAATGAATGCTCATGTTCCTGAAAAGAGAGACAGAGAAATCTAGAAAACACTGAATGCACAGTTTTCAATTTGCAGATGTGTATCTTTCTTATTTGTTTTTTAGAACAATTCATGGTTCATTTTTAGGCACTTGGAATCATAACAACATTCCCTTTCTGAACAAATACATCTTTGGTCCAGTATGTCATTTAAAAAAAGATAAAGCCAGAGTATGAAAATAACACCAGCTCAGTTGTTTCCTCAAAAGTATTTTTGACATATATAAAGCTTCATAAAGACTTTAATACTTAACAAGATATCATAGCTACATCTCAGAAATGACCAGCAATCTTACAGATGTTTTGCAAGAGAATACAAGGGAGAAAATGCATGCGTCGGCTCAATCAGATGTACAGCAGTACAGGATTGTTTAGTCAAGTCACATTTGGCAAATAGGGGTTTCGTTTTTTTAGTTTTTTTTTTAGTCCACTTCCTTTGAGACATAAAGAGCGATGAAGAGTCCACCCTTGCTCCTCTAACAGCTGGTTCAGCTACAGGGCAGCCATGTCTGATATGCATTATTGCACGGGGAGACCTGCGGCGGCTGCACGTGTGCAATATAGTAGTTACTGAAGTTGATGTCCTGCACGTACGGAGCTGGCTGGTAGTAACACGTGACGTTCGTTACAGTGGGGATGGCGTTCTGCTCAGCCAGCACCCTCAGTGCCAGCATGGAGATGAGGCTGAGCGTCTGGCGCCGCTCGTGGCCCATCAGACACACGGTGCTCTCGTTCACTACATGGTGCAGTGTCATCAGGCACTCATACCGTTTGTGCTCCATCCCTGCAAAGTGGTTCTGCAGGTAGGCCTCCAGCTTCCTCTGCTGTTCACCAATGTCAGAGAAGTCAATGAAGAACCGTGAGCACATGTAGCGCTGCAGGTTCTTCATTTCAGGCACTGAAGAGGCGGTGAAGCCCCGCACCAGCAGGTGGCAGTACTTCAATAAGCCGCCCCCTCTGATTTCTTCAGGGCTGCGTGTCGCTATCGTCCTCTGACACAGGTGCTCCATGGCCTCCTTGAAGTCCCCATACACACTCTCCCCGATCACAGTGGGGTGAAAGCTCTCAGACATGGGCGTCTCTGAGCAGCGGTCAAATAAGAGCAGAGAGTCGAGGCAAATCTGGAAGGAGTCCACGCTGAATTCAAACTGCCGCCGTAAAGAGTCCACAAATTTTAGCTCCACATTCTTGCCTGTGTTGTTGGACAGCGAGATGAGGCTCCAGCGGTCTGTGTCATTGCAGACCTTAACCAGTTTCTGTACATAGGCCTCTTTTAGCGTGAGTGGCGAGATGCGCTCCTTAGAGACGCCAGCCGGCAGGAAGTCAAACAGGCATTCTAGAACGACATCCTTCACCAGTCGGAAGGCCTGATCGTCTTTCAGCGACACGCCAAAGATAAGGTCGAGGTCCTTGTAGCCCAGTCCGGTGTCCTGATGGAGCACATAGCTGGCAGCCGAGCCGTTCAGCCGTACATCCTTAACGCACACACCCCTCTCCTCCAGCCGAGCCCGCACCACCTGGACAGGGAAGAGACACAACATGTTATAAATGACAAACAGAATCTCTTGTAAAAAGGTCCCTTAATGTAAAAAGTGAGATTTCCTTTTTATTTTTTTCTCTAATAGTAAAGTATCAAAACCCTCAATCCATGATCAAATGCACACAGCTCGTGCTTAGAAAATGTTTCTTTTAAACAAGCCGTCAGGGCTTCTGTAAAGTTGTGATGTCACATTATACAGGTAGAAAGTCCAGCTACATTGAGGCCACAGTCATTATCCATGTATAATGACTCTAAAAAAGGTAGATACGCAAGACACAGAAACACTGACCAATCAGAGCACACATGTAAAAATTCCAAAATATAACTATAATGCTGAAAATTGGCATTAATATTTCTTATTAAGGAGGTTTAGTTTTAAAACTAGAAAAATGCTCCTATATTTGCAGAAGACACACAACTAAAAAGACTCTTGAAATCTGTCCAAGTAAGCTCCACAAGGGCTGAGTAGAAATCAATAGCTTGTGAAGGCAAAAGTCAATTTCATCAACATCAGCCTCAGGTTGAATAAAACCTGAAGAGCCCAAACAAAGAGCAGCAGCGCTGGTGAGTGCATGCTACAGGTCCATCTCCCTCTGGGTCAGACTGTCTTATCTTCTATCAAATTCACAATTAGATTATAATCCTGAACTGCAGCCAAGAGAGTGGGAACACCAGAGTGCATGACCACCGGTGTCCTGTGGCGCTTGGGGCTAAATGACACGACCTGCAGTCATTAAGGGTCAGCAGCTTTCCCCTTCCTCTTTCCCAGTGACCTGTGAGAGGTTTGAACTGTCTCGCCTCAGTGCGGCCACATTGGAAGAGGATGATCTACAGCTGGACAGGGTCAGCCAACATCAATGCTAGCGGGCACAAAGGGAAACATGTCAGAAATAAGACTTCAAACATGGATTCGGCCTTTGTACATGTTAAATCTGGCGTGCTATTTGAACAGTTTGTCAAACCTATTCAGTGTAAGCACAGCTGATACATATTTAACAACAATGCATATACAATACATTTCACACAGACTGTACATTTAAGCTACACTTTACTACACAAGCATTTCCTCTGTGCAAATAATGATTGCATACAATTTGAACAGTAAGGCTAACATGACTTGTTTCACTCTCGCACACACAATTCTAAATCTCCCCACTGGCACTGACCTGTCAGATTAGTGTCTGTTAACTCTCTCTCCCATGGTGATCAGATAACAAGACTGCTCTATTAATACATACTGGGTCAGGCTCCGAACAAACATTTGAAGCAAAGTCAACCTTCCGCACAGGACTGTGTTAAAGTACAAAATCATAATTACATAACTTTGCAGTAATAGCGTGGTAATCCTTCAGCCATAAAGTGGTGCCAATTGGGTTCAAATTCCAATCAGAAGCAATAATAGTTTGCCGTTTGTTTGCTTCTGTAGTCAGCCTGATATGGCAAAACAGTCTGAGCCAAATCCAGGGTCAGGTTTACACTTGACCCATTTCCTCCCTCTGCCCTATAACCACAGACAGAATTATAAACATACTAACTTGGCAAGACGGTTCCATTTCTTGAAATAAAATAAATTAATAAAAAGGTAAGAGTATTGATGATTGCATTGGCTGATTCTTTCTAGATGAATCACTTAATATTTGGTCTATGAAATATCAGAAATTAGTGAAAAATGTCCATAACCAGTGTCTCAAAGTCCAAGGTAAATTTATTATTGTCATCACAAAACCCAAAGATACTCAGTATCATATGAAAGAGAGCAAAGCAGTAAATCTTTAGTGTTTGAGGGTGTTGTTATGTTAGATTTACAGTTACAGCCCTCTAACTCCTTGGACTCTAGAGCTTCATAATGTGTATCCCTCTAAACCTGCAGCATGACAAAGGTCCCCACTATCAGTCCGGCCTTCTAGGATGCCTAACAGAAGTGACAATTACATCAAAAATAGATTACACATTTAAGTTAAATAGCTTTTTTTCTAGTTTGTCATGACACAAGATTCACTGTTGATTGGTGTTCAGAAAACCACTCATGTTGCAGATGTTAGATTTTAGCTTAATACAAATTATATAGGGTTTCCACAAATCCAGGTGAAACTCAGTCCCCAGATTTGGGGCTCGAACCTGCATTTAAGCCTCCTGCACACTCAATGGAGCATTCATTTCTCCACAACCACAAGCATGAAGCTCTGGGATTCACAGAGCTTCATCTTGAATAGGTCAAAGTGTAAAAGCAATGGGGAACAAATTCAAGATTTTGCAACACATTACCTGACTTTACTTTTAGTTCATTCTGAAATTCTATCATTTAACTTGCATTCTAACACACAGCCAACTATCTACAGACTTCACAGGACAAGTGAAATGTGATCCAGCCACAATGTGCAAGAGATGGAAATGTGGAAGAACCTTTGCACGTGTCTGTTTCATACATGTAAGTCAAACCAGGGGAGTTGCCATGTATTCCTCACTGTTGTATTGTACAAATCCGAAGAGAAAATAACTTTTTAATATTTGTTTTAATCATCAAATACTATAATGTAATCTCATTAAGATATAGAGTAGGATTTAAGTTTGTCTGCAGATATTTGAACACAAGTATTGAAGGAATACATAGCAGTCCTCTGAGTCATGTGATGGCGATGGAAATATAACTTAGCTAGTAAGGATCCAAAGAACCTCCATTATGTTAAAACCTGGGTTTAAGTGGCTCTCAAATGTAGTTTAAAAGACCACCAGGGGTCTTCTAGGTTTCCAAGGTAGTTCCAGACAAATAATGTAATTTTTTTTATTTCTAATTACCCTGGTGTGAGTGTGGAAAGATAATACTGCATGTAAGACAACATGATTAACAGCTTTCACTACTTACCCACCTGAATGATATTAACTAGGCTAGTAATGTGATTCTAACTAAGTCTATAAAGTAAAGTTTCTTCATGCTGACACTTCAAAGTAAAGTAGACATGCCAGAATAGACAAGTGAGCATGTTAAGGATGTGTGGTTAATATTACCTGGACGATCTGTCGTGGCTGCACGGACAGAGTGGGGAAGTTTCCCCGGCCGTGGATGGGGACAGCCTCCCCGAGGATCGAGTCCAAACGCTGCACCTGATCCCAAGACAACACACAGAACCGCCGACTCTGATCCGACGCATCACCGCAAGACATGGCGATGTTAACTTTTGCAACAAAAAAACAAACTGAAATGTGCGCTTCTTTTCTCTGCTGAGTACTTCTCTCTGCAACACAAGGGAGATATTCCTGCGGTGAGGAGGTCCGGTTTGCGGTGTTGAGATGAAGAGTGTAAAAAGTTGCTTGACTCAGAGATGCTAGAGATGAGAATGAGATCTTTCTCTGGTGTGTGCCACTAAAATCCGGTCAGTTCTGCAAAGAGACGACTCATCAGAGGGTTTAAAAGGCTCCTCATTAGCATGCGGCCTGTGATTGGCTGCTGTGTTTGGTCATTGATTATGGACGCCCCGTCTGCACAGAACACCCTGCTGACGCATTTCACTGCCCCCTCCCTCTGCTCTGCTCATGGTGCACGCTGCATGCTGACAGGGTTTTCCCTCAAACAAGCCTTGTTATAATAGTCTTTTGATCTGAAGCCGGAGTGCATTTATTAATCTATTATTTGATCATTTATGTCAGATTAGTAAAAACAATGAAAGATCAGTTTACAGCTGTGCAAACACAACCTTTACTTTCCCTTCAATTACATGTTTCCTTATTTATCCAGGGAATGTTTGCAAAGCATGCAGGATGTAACGCCCTGCCTAACGTTCATACACCATAAGACACTACATTTACATTGTGTTTACTTTGAATGTATGGCTTCTAAAAATTGCCCCCCAGTGTTTTTTAGTTTTAGTTTTTTTTAAATAAAGATTTCTAAACATATTCACAAGAAAAAAAAGTTAAAGGCCCTTCTGGAAGGCACTTCAACAGCAGCTGACTCATTCTACAATTTGGGGTACATTGATGTCCATTGATGATAATTATATTTATTCTAACTATTTTCTTCAAAAATATCCTATTTTGCCTATTATTGGAAAGCATGTTATAATATCACACAAACATTATGTGCATCCTATGCTTCATTTAGCTTGAAATGTGTCATGATGTTCTTAAATTGACAGTTTTTGCTATGTCCGTTTTTCAGTTGAGGGTGTCTTGGTTTCAAAATAATGAATAAAAACCATTAAAGTAAATAACAACTAGTATTCATTTATTTCATAAGTCTAAATACTAAAGAAAAATTATATTTCTTTAATTGATTTCCTCCTTTAAATAATTTAAATATCTTAATATATGAATGTCCGCAAAAGTTCTGTCAACTATGTTACTAATAGAACTCCCCCATTTAACTCAAAAATGGTTTGTCCCAATACCAGGTCACCAGCATCACATGATGCCATGTTCCTCTTTGGCAGACATTTTGAACACACTGTGGTGATTGTCCTCTAATTTTTTACAATATTTTATGTATAATAGCACATTGTCAATGAGTATATTAATTGACCATCAACAATGTTACGTACATTGTTATGGTTTACAATTGTTCAATGATTTTAATTCAATTATATGTTCAAATGTGATGTTAAACCTGTTCAAGAAAATGATATGTGGTCCTCCAGGCAAGGCCTACCATTGAAATGATGGGTCAAAATAGGGAAATTGTCAATTAGGTTACCTGTCAACTGAGTTACCTCAGTACTGGGTAACTCAGTTGACAGGTAACCTAGTTGACAATTTCTATGACATGTAGACGTCATTACACAGCATTATCATTCTACATATGTCTCAACACACTTTTTTATCCAATTATACTTTTTTACAGAACACCATGGATTTCTACATTCTGGGACGGTACGGTCAGACGGTATGTGTGTTTCTGAGTGAGATACACTTTTATAATTTTTCTTTTCATAGTCATCTAAATCTTATTATAGATAATGTGTTTATTGTTGTTTATTTTGTATTGTAGGGAAGCCTTTCGTGTGTGGGTGTTTATACGTGTTAGTTCTTGCGGAATGTGTGTGTGGTTTAAACGAAAAGATCGGATAATGTCATCGTTTAACTTTCTTATTAGGTCTTATACAATGGTCGTATTTTTTTTCTTACTTCTCTAAACCATAGCGTGGAATTGTCGTTTTTTACGATTGGATCAATCATTTTTACTGTCATTATAGCTGTGTTTGTGTATATGTAGGATTGGTTTGTGGTTTTGGGGTATGATCAGTCTGTTATGTGATTTGAGTTGAGTTTATTATTCTTTTTGGTTTATTTTTGTTGTTTAGGTATGTATTCCAGATTTATTTTTTTTTTTTAAGAATTTAAGTTTATATTTTTATGATTTTTTCAGAGGTTTTAGAGTTGATTTTTTTTTTTGATTATTTGGCGGGTAGAAATCGAGTGCTTTCTAGGTCCGCTCGACCTGGACGTAGGAGTGGGCTGTGATGCCGCTAAGGAGTTGCAGTGTGCTGCGATCGAAGGTCGATCGACGTGATATCGAAGACGGAACTCACTATAACTCCGAACTATACACGCCACTATACGTTTAAGGAAAAACCGTATTATACTTGTTTGGCAGCAGAATAGCTACGAAGGTTGGGTTGTTTGTGTTAGGTAGCAGTGTTGGCAAAATTAAGTAGTTGTTGTGTACGTAGGTGACCCCGTTGTTCGCTAGAGTTAGTCTGATAGGAACAAGGTGAAACTTGATAACAATGACACCAACAACAACAATTCAGTACTTGCAATCAACCACGAGGTCATATTGAGCCTTAGACTTTGAGTAGGTAACTTTGCAAGACGCCACGTTTTTATTCACGCTAATTTACGCAATAAAAGATGCGCAATTAAGACACAGTCAGTATTAGAACTAATTGCGCAATTCAGTGCGATAATAATTGGTATAGTATACTAATAAGTCCTCTTACGTATAAGTAAACTCTGAGGTAGTAAGTAAGATTTACCTCTTCTTTCGACTGTACAATGCCTTTAGTCCGTTACGATACTAGTCATGACCACATCTCAACCTTGATTCATAGAAGATAAGTCTTGTAAGTCTTAAGTTAAGATAATTTCTGGATAGTCTTTTCACATTAATTGTAAATGTAACGCTTTAAACTTGCCAAATAGCTTTCACTGAACATTCAGTCTGTTTCTAGTTGGGTGTCATCTCCTTGTTTATTTCTTGTCAAAAATTTTACATACCAAAACATTACCCAAGTTTTGTGTGTCCCCAGGTTCACTTCGGAATGATTTTTGCTTTGATAACTTTCTTTAACATGTCATTGTAATAAGTTTAAGTTAACAAGCATGATCTGAAAGAGAGTGCACCGCACTCCAGTGACTGAAACCTCCTCTTTAGTGAGAGTTTTACAGGAGTTTCCCATGTTTTCGTGTAGGAGAGAGTCACCGCTTCTTGGCCACTGAGGCCGTGGCACGTACGTGAAATGGCTGTACACCGGTACTTGAGGACTTACTGAGGTCCCATTCTATAGAGGTGTAGTATAAATTCCCAAACCTGTCGGGTCGTGACCCGGTTAACTTAGTCCTGGGTGTGTCGGAAAGTAAGAGAAACGACAACGAAATCCACGAACTCCGTCGCTTCCCCAAACAAACGACTTGGAGTTTTGATTTTCATACTCACAGTAGTGTTCGCTGTGAGTATTGAAACAGATCGCCACGTTCCCGTTGAATGTAGAGCTAATGTTCTAGAGAGGACCACGGGGACACTGGTGGACCACCTATGCGTATCAACTCCCGTGACGACCGTCTACTGAACGTAGAACAATTAACGAAGTAGGTGGTCTAAGAGAGGCTACATCTTGTGGGATTGACAAGGCGACAACTGGTTTCGTGACATCTCTACAAGACGACTTCCTACAGTACCTGGAACGATTGTTCGGACAGTCGGGCAAGCGAAGTCCCTCCGGAGGGTGAGGTAGACCTCGTGGGAAGGGTACCGAACGAAGTTTTTCAAGGTACAGGGGGAAAAACTTTGGTGCGAAGTAGTCGAGACACGATTTCTTTCTTCAAAGGGAAGACAGACATAACGCACGTACCTGGCAGTGACTTCTTTACGTGGTGGAGCTGTCTTCCTATGCTCCGGAAAGTGAAGTAGGTCCTACCCCCTGTTTACACGGGTTTACCGTCTCCCGGAAAGAGGAAACTACGGCTTTAACACGGTTTCGTGTACACGAGACGACAGGGTGGTTGTACTTCCTAGGACACACCTCGCAACGAACGAAGACCAAACCCCGTTTCACGTAACGGACCTAAAGGACGACGTTCGAATTGACTCATTAAGGCTTTTTAGGTGTACTTAGTTCGTAAGAACCAACCAGTACGAAAAAGAATTAAGTGCCATCACCAACTTGACCGAAAATTACAATTTACATACGGCAAACTTTACAGAGTTAACCGGAACTTTGTAGAGGTCGTCTAGGCGGTTGTGATACAGGAAAAAGAAGAAGTGTCACTAAAAGTACCCCTGGAACAGGAAAATGGTAGAAACAAAAAGAAAAAGAGACTACTGACAAAGTCAACTGGTGACTCACTCAACTGTAAACGGACTTCCAATGAGACGACGATACCGTTTGGAGGACAGGAAAACGTCACCCCTGTGAGCAAGCAATGTACGTCCAGGAAACTTAAACTAACGTCGATAACTACAACAGTCCAGAAGGTACAGGTGCGAGGAATAATTGAATTCTCACACTTCGAAAAAAGTCGGTCTTTCCTTTCTAGAGTACTTGGGAACGTTCTGTCCAAACAGACAAGACGTTCACAACCCAATTGGTGGGTCTTCCCTGCGTATGCTGTCTTGTTCCTCATGCTCTCTAACATTAATCCTACAAGTCACTCTTTAGAGGACACCTCCAAGAGTCCCATAGTAAATTTTTGGAGAAGACAAAAGAAATAAGAAGGGCGGACACTAACAAACACGAAACGGACGACAGTTAGCCGACGAAGTAGAGAGCAGTCCATTCGTTACTGCGACAGAACTTTAAGCCTCGTATCCGAAGCCATGAAATATTAACGGAAGTCGTCCTAAGAACAAGGAGAAAGACCTCTACACTCACGACATCTTGAAGAAAAACATTAGGTATGAAAAATTCCTAGAAGGGTCAATCTTAAACACTGTAACGGACGGACACACAAGAGGAAACCACCACCGTTTCCGCAGGAACTACAACGGTACTCCCGTACTACTTGTTCGTTACTAGAGGCGTGAAGCGGTCTTTGTCCCTGTAACACATCGTCAGCGGAACAAACTACGGCCCTGAGACTCTGGCGTGTCGCAGAAACTCAGAAAACGCATCAAACAGACAACAAAAAAAAACAAAGGGCTCGTTACAAAGTCAAAAACATAAAGA